CACTTGTGTTTCGTCAGAATGACCTTGTCAGACTCAAAAAACCATGCGAAAAACATGTTTACTGAGAAGAGACCTTGAGACAAGATTCTAACGAATGTCCGGAACATACAGGACTTCGTTCAAGGTTAGCTCTTTTCCTAAGGTTAACTTTAGGACCACCTTTCCCTCAACAAATGAGGTAGTAGAGATTCCCATAAACAACTTCTTACCATTTGGAACCGGTTCGAAAGTTGTAAACAGCTCCTTCTCGGAGCAGATGTGGCGTGTAGCCCTAGTAAACTAAAACCCCTCGCTACCACAGTTGTAGCACTTCCCAAAGAACCGATAACCAGGTTCCCGCGACTTGTATGCCAGCTTCTTTTGCAACACCACCCCTTGGCCCCAGCTTAGAGCCCTTGTTCATGGGGGGGCTTCTTCCTTACCCTAGAAGATTTTCCATGTTCAATGACATTGGCCTTCACTAAGGAGGTACTCCCTCATTTCTTTCTATTATCCTCCTCAATCCGGAATCGGATAATTAAGTCTTCTTTGTAGAATTTATACAAAGTCTTTTGAACAAATCCTTGTGTCACAATGATTATGAAACTCTCAAAATCATATCACAGTAAATACATTCCCAAAATGTCATCAACCAAATTAGGCACCCAAATATATTAGGTTCGACCTATCACTCTGAAGTCAATAGTCTTACTATTAGGAAACACAAATCCAGTGTTCAATAGTCTACTATTCGGAACTTCACAACATGGCCAGTAGTCTTATCACTAGGAATCACTAATTTCTCATCATGTGGTCAGTAGACTTTCTACTACTAGGAATCACAATGTCTTAACCTGTGATCAGTCGTCACTTTACTACTAGGAATCACAATGTCCTGACATAGGATCAATAGACTCTTTCATTACTAGGAATCATCATGTCTTAACGTATGACCAGTAGCCTCTCCACTACTAGGAACCATGATGTCTTGACATGTGATCAGTAATCTGTTCACTACTAGGAACCACAATCTCATAACTGTGTAGCCAGTGGTCTAACACCTCCTAGAAACCACCAGTTTTCTATCTCTGTGATCAGTGATCTTGTACTCACTAGGTGCCACCAATTTAAGAATATATTTAGAATTTAAAAATCCAAAAAATATTCACCCACTATAACTGGTTTTCCCATCTTTGCTTTCAAGCAAACTCATATAACAATCTTAAATGCTATAAACAACATAAGGATACCATACTAATTGCCTCTGATCAAATCAGAGAAATTTTTAATGCAATCTCATGATTTCCTTTAATCATACTTGATCTCTCAAGATCTTCCTTTAAGAATCTCGTGAGGCAAAGGTTGTCAGGTGGAACAACATTTCTGTTTGTCACATTTTGAAGCCATTTCTGAAACATCACAACAGAATTTCACTTCTGTGATTCCAGAAATTAAACTTAACCCTTAGAAAATCCCTCAAATGGAAATTTAATTCAAAAACTAGTCTCACCATTTAATCTAGAATCGAACATGGTCAGGAATGTTTCCAGGAAGACTGGAGGGGTCACATCGGTCCCACTTAAAACCCAATTAACCTTTTGACAAAACATTCAAGAGCATGTTGACTCCTAGTCCATAGGAAACAATTTAAAAATTAAGATTTCTAGGGAAAAAACCAGGTTATAACAAACCGATTCCCAAGCAAATAAAATTTGCTACCAGAATTACACCATTCATAAAAGTTAACCGGTACTCCCGGAACTAAGCCCATTATTTCTGAATAAAATCAAAAATATTTTAACTAATGCTAAAATTTGGTTTCCTTTCTCAAAACCAAAATACTTGGACATAATCAGATTATAACCAAAGACTTTCTCCAAACTTAGTTTTCCAACACTTTGGGAATAAAATGATTAAACCCAAAGACTTCCTCAAACTCCAAAGGTTTGAAACCAAATCCGTCTTAGTTGTCATTTCTGAACAAATAAGAACTACTCTTTAACCAAGGCTAAACACTTTGGTTTCTACTACAGAAGACCAAACCAAATTCCAAATTTACAAGCAATTTAAAAATTGCTACAACCAAATACATGCATATAAAATGCTACTAATAAAACAAGCAAATAAAACTTGCTACCACAAATTGATAAACAAACCAACTAAATCTCGAGCAAAACATGCTTCAAACATTTAAATAAAATAGCCAATCCATAAGGATTCTATTTAGTCCAAAAGCCTTTCCACGCTTAGGTATTCCTATTCAACACAAAAGTTAGTAGTCCAAACATTTTTTGTTTTTTACATCCCAAATACTATTCATTTGGTTTTGTATTTGTTTTTCCATTCCCTTTTGCATTGGTATGCCTACAAAGAAAGTTAGTAGCAAACCACAACAAAATACAAATAAAAAATCTAAGCAAAAAATAAATATAATAAATAATAGAAACCATCTAGCCAACTATTTATAAAATTAACCAATGAATTAAAATGCCAATTTAAGTAAAACTTAAAAAAAAAAAAATTCAATACTCATGAGTTATGAATGAAATTAATTCATAATAAACATTTAAACTAATAACTCTAAATAAATAAGTTAAATTCAAAGTTAATGCACCCAATTAAATAATTCAGATTAATGCACCCAATTAGATAATTTAGATTAATTCACCCAAACAAATTCAAATTAATGCACCCAATTAAATAATTTAGATTAATGCACTCAATTAATTCAAATTAATCATGTACACAATTCATAAAAACTCTATAACTCCAAATACATTAAACTAAAATTAATAGGCAAAAGATACAAACCAATAACCATTTAGCAATTAACATATGCAAATAATTCTAAAAACATTAAATTATGTAATCTAGTTTAGAAAATAATAAGCATGTAACAAATTAAAACTAGAATAGAATTAGCATGTCAAAATTGCAACATCCATAAATTATATTTTATAACCTTAAAATTCACGCAAATTATGATAGAGAATTCTAACTAAACTAAGCAATTAGAGAGTACCATTGCATAATTTACAATCATTGAAATAGTGAGCAATTCTGCAACAATTCCTAATAACATTATACAAAGCTAACCTAATAGTCTATATAAATCTATTCGATCAATTTCATAGAAAATATATATATAATCTGTTTTGAGCTTGTTATTCAAATTGTGAAATTAAATAAACTGATTTATGAAGAAATCAAATTATATACCAAGAACATATGCTGATAATTACAATTAAATTTCAATAGAAATACACAAAACAATAAAAGGGTAAAGAGACGAAACCGAAGCCTGCACGGAAGCAGTTTCCTTAAAACAGATTTTGCCGCCTCACGGGTCGAGTGCTTGAGGAAACCCGGCGTCTGTCTCCCAGGATACGACGGTCAAAATCAGCTACGGCAGAACACTTTCTGTCTAGCTTAGCGAACAAGAACAGTGGCAGCACTCTCACAATGTAGGAACTTTCTGACAAATTGACTTGTAAAATGGAAGCAAAAAATTTCTATATTGAAACTTGATAGGAGGGTCTCAATTTATTTATGTAAAGGGGAGAGAAGAAGAGCCTCCAGCCTTTAAGGTTGGTCATTAAAACACCAAGCATCCATAGCCCCTTTCCAAAAATATGAAAGTTTGGATGCCCAAAGGATTCACACCCTTTAGCCAAGAAAAATGATTTAAATACTCTTTAAAATCATATTCATGAATCTAACATCATGAGGCAATTTCTTGGCAATTTCTTATTCAAAACCCAATGATTTTTGGCTCACTTGGACCTAACACAATAAAAGATTGGGACCCACTTTAATATTTAATTAAAGTCACCACACTTTAATATTAAATTAAAGTCACCAAAAATCATTTTTTCCAACAAAAACATCTTCAAATTTCTAAAGATAATTTAAGACCGGACCCAAAGCCCTTATTCAAACAACTCCAATGGGATAGAAGTTGAGAAAATCAATATTAAATATTAAAAAAAAAAAAAAAGAGATTTTTATCACACATCTGCAGTTACATAATTTTTGAATAATATATTGGAAGTGTTTTTATAAGTACCAAAAAAGTCAAAAATTTAGATATGATTCATGAAGAAAATCACAAAATACCAACACCAAATACATAAAAATAAAAATAAAAAATTTAAAAAAAGAAAAGAAAAGAAACACATAAGTTTTAAGAATATTGCTAGCAACACCTTTTTCTATGCTGTGAATAACAACCAAAAAATTCAGCTTGAGTACAAACTATCACTACAAGAATTAACACTTTTGGCAACAAAAAAATTGGTCGCTAAAAGTCAATTTTTGGTCGGCAAAAGTTATCCGCGACCAATTTTTTTGGTCGCTACTTTGGTCGCCAATTGAGGGTCGGCAACAGTAATTCGCGACCAAAATTTTGATTGGTCGGCAAAAGTTGGATTTGCCGACTAAATTTTTGGTCGCTAAATATTTAATTACCGCGACAAATTTATTTTGTCGCTAAAACACTTTGGTCGCGAAAAGTGATATTTTCCCGACTAAATTTCTTAGTCCCCAATTGTCACATTTCACGACCAAATTTTTTGGTCGCCAATTATCACATTTCGCGACCAAAAAATTTGGTCGCCATTTGTTACTTTTCGCGACCAAAACTTTTGGTTGGCAAAAGTGAGATTCCACGACCAAGAGCTGTTTTGGTCGGCAATAGATGTATTTTTTGCGACCAAAACTCTTGGTCGGCAATTGTCATTTTTTGCAAAAAAAAATTATTTATTTGTCGCGACTAATAGATTGGTCACCAAAGCAAGAAAACAATACACCTGTAATTCCTAATAATTCATTTAATCCATAATAAACCTATAATTTTAAAGCATCATTCAAATTAACTGAATCATTAACATTCGACACAATACATAATTCATTAACATTCGACACAATATTACTATTCTAAGTTTTCATTCACAAGTCACATCCATCTCGCATAACAATTTGAAACAATACATAATTTAGATTTACAGCATCAGGAAAATTGCTTAATCCACTAAGTTGCCTTGATAGCCAATCAAAAAGATCCTTGCGGCCTTCGCATCCATCAAAGCAGTAGTGATGTAAGGCACCTACTAAAGAAACAGAATTGGAAAATTTATCAGAGAAGCATGATAAATATATAAAATTAATTAAAAAATAAACAAAATAGAGAAATTGGAACCCAATAGTCGAGGCAATGCTCTTTACGTATGTGAATGTATTATAAATTTCTCACCTTTATTGGTTTTTCAAAACAATAGTCGAGGCAGGTTTTCTGGTACAGTACAGAACTCTCTGTGTCCATTTGGACTACCAGATGAGGTTCTACTGGTTCTGATCGATTCCCCTCTCCACCTTGATCAACAAAAGAGAGATAATACCGGGAGCTGTTTGGTCTCACACAACCTTTTTTAACTTCTCTGCAGCAACTCTTAAAGACTTCCACGGGTGGACAATACCGCTGACCAGGAACCTGTTTAAAATGAATGTGAAGAAACTCCAATCAAATTACATAAACCAAAGCAGATAACCAAGCTTAAATTCAAAAATATTATGATTGACTCATGAACACTATTAAATGATCTCAGGTATCACATGTCAATTCAAGCTATCCCACTTGAAATTAATAAGAAAATGGCAAGAGCACAAAAGTTGTGCCACTTTCAGTATAATGCATTCTCCAAGTCAATTTTTACAATATAGAAAACCATCAATAAAGAGCTGAAAACCCAAGCCATGGTTACCTCTCAATAAAAAATTAGAAAATCTGGAGAATCAAGATTTTTTTTATAAGCATTACCAGTAGCATTTTAACACATATACATACATATATAAACAACAAACCCAAGGAACATGGTGAAGTCTTTATGTTGACCATCTTCATTGAGTTATTTTTGGGATTTCCAGCATCCTATATTTTGGGATTTCTAGCTAGATGCACTTCTAATTTAGTATATCATTTACTATCTCAAAAGTGTGGAATGCACTTACCTCTTGTAACTCTGAGACCACAAAGAAGACAGAGCCAGTGTTAACCATGTCATAAAGTCGAATTCGAACCAATTCTCTGCTACATGGTTCAGGCGAGTTCACAGATGGAGGGCCATGATCAACTCCCCTAGGAATAGAAAGTGTATTCTCCCAGTACCCTACATAACGCCGTTGGCTTGGTATTGAGACCTGTCCAATACATGCAGATCAATGAACTTCTAAACAAAATACTCATAACTACCGAAAGTCAAGACTGGCTAATGAATCCAATACCATCCTTTAACATGTTCAATTTATTAACGTATAGATAGTTCAATACTAAGTAGCCCTAACCAACCCAAGGTTTCTTGGTTTGATTCTGCTAGTTGCCCACCTAAACCAAACCGACCCATACACGTCCCTGTTCCTTCATGAACCAATTTGGAAACTGAAAATGTGCAAACGGCTAAATTGCATTTCGTTGTCATTTACTTCACAAAGTCCTACATGAAGCACTAGAATTTTGGTTTTCCACTAGTGTTTTGTTAAAAACGAAAACGTTTCAGCCATTTCAAAGGAAACAAAACGAAAATTGTGTTCCCTGATTGTGATGACTGAGTTCTTGTCACAAATTTCCTGTTTTCATTTACAAGAGCCCTTGTAAGTCAAAAATTTGGAGTAGAAATTGGTTGGCCACACAGAACCAGATTCTGTAACCTTTCAAATTTTTTTACCTTCATTGTTTATGTTTAGCCCTAAACTCTATTTTATTTTATTTTTAAATCATAGCCAAAATAACTTTACAACGCCATTTCTGACACATTCAAACTATCTATATGAATCCAGAACATTTGGAAACAGAACATGATTGAGCATAGTGAAACAAGTTTTTACGCAGTGGGAATATGTACACTAAAAACACTCGTGGGCAATGATTATTGTCTATGAATGCCAAAGATACATGTTTTAAGGTTGTTCTACAGCAGCCAGAGTCTGGTGCTGAGTGGCTATCAGCACCAGTGTTGCACAAGAAATCTTGTACATGGAAAATTTATGTTCTAAATTTGTTATGCGAGCAACCCAGCAACCATTAAATGTAACCACTAATTTAAGAAACCCTACCCTTACCCCTTAGAAAAAGAAATAACACAAAAACAGTACAAAAAAAACATACCTGTGATGTGCAGGGAAATGGAAAAAAATAAATAAAATAAACAATTTGAGCAGTAGAAAACCTTTAAGAGAACCATGATCGTTCAGCCTCTGCAATTGATGCTGGAGAATAGTAGAATCAAGATAGGAACGAACATTTTTCATATATGTTCCATTAACAAGCAATAGGGGAACAGCTGCGGCTCTCCGTGCAACTGAAAATGCCATCGCCAAAACAGGATCCTCTGAAAGTGTTAACCAACAAAGTTTACATCATTGATCTATAAAACAAGTTCCAAGGGAAACTTCCCTTCTAACTAATCAGCAAGGATCAAAATTCCAACACAGTGTCATGTCAGTATGCATGGAAACATTAATGTTTCAAAAAGACTATAGAAAGAAACGAAAAAAGGAACTTGGAAATAGATGGAAACATTCGGAAACCGTGACTAAAATCTATCCATACATATAAAAGCCCAATAATTGATTGATTGAAGATATTTAAGTCGTGGGAATCAGCCTCTCCATTAGGAAAAAAATAGTAATAAAGTGGAGGGAAATCTATTTACCATCCCTCAAACCCAAATGTAAACAGGAGCTTTGTGCACTGGATACGACCTTCTACCATTACATTCATAGATACAAAGGCAAAGGTGTAGAACCAAGGCATTTTGTAATTCAATTTTATTCAGTAGAACCAAGGCACATCACCAAGAATAATACAATAAAATTAACGCATGAGATCTATTCCTGTGAACCTTTGTCGGAAAGAGGTACAGAGCACACGCTAACAAATTCTGGGACAATACTTCTAGTACTGGCAGATTGTAGCAAAGAGATTTCCCACTGGATGTCATTGTTGCCACAACTACATGCTTGCCAGCAAGGGAAGCCCGAACAGACTCTGCCTGCAGATACCAGAAGAATTAAAGTTCATTCAGAATTTTGGCTCAGAAAAGGATTGCAGTTCAAGATAACATCCATACCTGGTGGCTATACAACCTCGTAATTCCTTTATTAACATATAGATAGTTCAATATTAAGTAGCCCTAACCAACCCAAGGTTTCTTGGTTTGATTCTGCTAGTTGCCCACCCAAACCAAACCGACCCATACACGTCCCTGTTCCTTAGTGAACCAATTTGGAAACTGAAAATGTGCAAACTGCTAAATTGCATTTCGTTGTCATTTACTTCACAAAGTCCTACATGATAGCCTTTTATACATAATATGACTTACTCCTTCATTATTGGTAGTCCGTTTATGTGCATACACTTGAAGAGCCTCCTTTGCTGACATGCCACTATAAACAAGGTAAGCAGATACCATCAAGCCTGTCTGACCTTGCCAGCCTGCAAAATTTAAAATATGATACAAATGAATAAGAAGCATGTTAAAATCAATCTTCTATAAGGGCAAAATAATCTTTTATAAGGGCAATATGAATCCTGAACGTTTGGAAACAGAACATGATTGAGCATAGTGAAACAAGTTTTTACGCAGTGGGAATATGTACACTAAAAACACTCGTGGGCAATGATTATTGTCTATGAATGCCAAAGATACATGTTTTAAGGTTGTTCTACAGCAGCCAGAGTCTGGTGCTGAGTGGCTATCAGCACCAGTGTTGCACAAGAAATCTTGTACATGGAAAATTTATGTTCTAAATTTGTTATGCGAGCAACCCAGCAACCATTAAATGTAACCACTAATTTAAGAAACCCTACCCTTACCCCTTAGAAAAAGAAATATCACAAAAACAGTAAGAAAAAAACATACCTGTGATGTGCAGGGAAATGGAAAAAATAAATAAAATAAACAATTTGAGCAGTAGAAAACCTTTAAGAGAACCATGATCGTTCAGCCTCTGTAATTGATGTTGGAGAATAGTAGAATCAAGACAGGAACGAACAGTTTTCTATATGTTCCATTAACAAGCAATAGGGGAACAGCTGCAGCTCTCCGTGCAACTGAAAATGCCATCGCCAAAGCAGGATCCTCTGAAAGTGTTAACCTACAAAGTTTACATCATTGATCTATAAAACAAGTTCCAAGGGAAACTTCCCTTCTAACTAATCAGCAAGGATCAACATTCCAACCCAGTGTCATGTCAGTATGCATGGAAACATTAATGTTTCAAAAAGACTATAGAAAGAAACGAAAAAAGGAACTTGGAAATAGATGGAAACATTCGGAAACCGTGACTAAAATCTATCCATACATATAAAAGCCCAATAATTGATTGATTGAAGATATTTAAGTCATGGGGATCAGCCTCTCCATTAAGAAAAAAATAGTAATAAAGTGGAGGGAAAAAAATAGTAAAAAATTTCAGATCGCTTTGGATCACTAAATTTACTGTTTTAGAGCATAAGTGTACCAAGTTTCGGAACGTGCATTCCGAAAAGGTAATTCGCTAGGGTTTTAGCATTTTCTAATAACACTAACTTGAGAAAAAAAGAAGAAGAAAAAGAAGAAGAAAGGTTAGGAATACCACCATCTTCACCACATGCTGCTCAAGCTTCTTTATCCGATCCTGCAAGGAGTATACAACAGTCTCAGACTCTGATTTAGCCTTGCAACTTTCAGATGCATCATTTGGTTGTGCTACATCTCTTGAAGGTTCTGGTGCAAGAATACAGTCTTCATTGGCCAAATTAGTTGCATCGCAAGTTGCCTTGCCTCGCTGATTTCTTTCTCTACAAAATTGTAGCAAACCATATGAAATATAAAAATATTCATACCTGGGTGCTTAAAATGAACGTAGTAGCTTCATCAAAAATAAAAAAATAAAAAAAAAGAAAGTAGCAGGATAAGTTTACCTGCTTGGTGATTTTTGTTTTTTGTGGTTTGGAAGTGAATACCCTTTATAAGACCCATTCATTACCACTGATGGAACCGAGTCTGTGGAACATGTCGATGAACTATCATCCACTATAGACAAACTATTTGTTTGTCTAATTCCATTTTGTCCAGCTGAAAGCCCACTTACTACACTACTACTGGCCTCTGTGGGAGGATGAACTTCTGATGTGTCCGTATCTCTGTCTTCTGAATCAGGCTGCATTTCAGGAAGACAATCTACTGAATCAAACACATCAGAATTTTCAAGCACGAGTTCTGCATCCTCGATCGTGAAATCTTTTCTTTCATCAGCAAGGCTTTCTTCTTGGAGGATGTCTTGGATTGTAACACCTGACTTGTCATCCCTTCCTTTATCCTTCACCTTGCGATTATTTCGTTTTTGCTTGCCCTGAATTGTAGAATAAATCAAAGATGTAGTGCAGCTGAATTCAAATGAAAGAAAGATTTACAAAATCTCTCCCTCCAACAAAATAGAAGTTTCATGCGTAAGCAGCATACCAAGGATTAGTTAGTGTTAATTAAAGAGACAAGCCCAACCATACAACCAACAAAAAAATAAAGGCATAAAAAACCACAAAGCAAGAAGACGATAATTTTAAATACCAATAAAAAATTGGACTCCGAATGGCCTGCAACTTGACATTTATCAGGAATATCAGCAGCTCTTGAATGAGGTGATATGACTCCCAAAAAACTCAAAAAATATTTCCAAATGCATCATTTTTCTGGCCCCTTTTTATCATAATTTTTTTTTCTAATTTTAATAAACTAAATAATCAATAATACAGGATCCTGCCCATTTTTTAGGCTAATCAAGACAGGAAAGAAACTTGAGCATCCGAGCCCCGAAACATCAAGGTTGGCAGAACACCCAAGTACCACTTGGCCTATAAGGCCAATGGTGAGAATATTTTTTGTTGTAAATGTGAGGCAAAACCAACCATATATAAATTTCCCATTTCTCCTAATTCTGCTCTTATTTTTGTGATGTAATATTTGACATACATGCTTATTCAATGTTACAGAACAATTTTTATAAAAAAAAAAAGGACGACACTTGCCACCTTATAAATATACCATATGATACCAAACATACATGCACCAAAGACTAGAAAATTGTCAACCATCAACTACGTAACATCACAAGCCACCATAAACTAGAAATTGTCAACCGTAGACCATATATTTTTTCTA